TAAAGGAAAAGGCAAAAGTCTTTGCTAAAGCTTTTAATATTCAAGAAAAAGATTTAAATTTTTCTAATGGTTGGTTGTAAAAGTTTAAAAGGCGCAATAATATTTGTAAATACCGCATACACAGAGAATCGGGAAGTGTGTCTTTAGCATCTCTTCCAGAAGAATGTAGAAGGTTGCAATCAATTTTAAGTTGATACACTCCTGATCGAATTTATAATATCGATAAGATAGTAAGCTTTTTCGATTTTTTCTTATAAAAAATTTTATTGAATGAACATTAAAAATATCAATATTATTTTACCACTGCTTTCAAAGTTGGGTAACGATTAGAGGTTAGTTTCATAGAAAATTGGAATACAATAACAATATTTCATGATATCAACATAGACCCAGAGCGTTAATTTAGTGAAATGATGTTTCTTAGTTATTTTAGACATCAATTTTTAGTACTGATAGACCAAACCTGTGTGCTGTCAAGCAGTGTGAGGACACCCCATATAGTATTGATACTTTGTCTAATAGAGCACAATAATAACAATACGTCAAAGAAACCCAAAGTGATGCGAGGGCACTCCGTGGCTTAAAGCCAAGCTGTGTTGTTGATAGCTCATTTGCACACAAATATACTAACATTGAACGATTTCTTTGGACTAGTGCAAAATTTTTAATATATCGGTTACTTAAATTTTACATAGTCTGATTGAAAGCAGAATGTGTAACATAAGCATGATGTGATCTGTGTAACTAGAGAATATGTTTAATATATTTTATTCTTTAAATATAGGGTCTTTTTTATCAGATGTCTCCAAGTCAAACGCTTTCAACAAAACCAGTTCCTGGCTGAAAGAAAGACAAAATATGAATTACAGTCCTTAGTATTAATGCAACAGAAACTGATAAGTTAAAACCATGGGTGATTGGCAATTCAAAACGTCTGAGGCCTCTTTCAAAGGTTAACTTAGAGCGTCTTTCTGTCTACTATTGAAGTAATCCTAAAGCATGGATAAACTCAATACTATTTGAAGAGGTTCTTTTAGAATTGAACTGCTGTTTTAGAGCACAAAACAAAAAGATCTTGCTTTTAGTCGATAATGTTTCATCGCTTTCAATCTGCATTATTTATCATCTGTAGAAATTGATCAAGAGATGATTATAAAAATGAATCATCTACATCTGGTAAGATTTATTGTATCAATCATTTTTTTTTAATATACTAAATAATAATTAATAAATAATTTCTTAATTTAATTATAGAGAATCAAGCTTCAAGAGATCATGACAGTCATGGTGGACCTAGTTATGATGGATCAAGAGGCCATAGTGGTCATGGTGAATCAAGAAGCTGTGGTAGTCGTGGTGGATCAAGAGTTCGTAGCAGTCATGGAGGTTATGGTGGTCATGGTAGATCAAGAGGTCGTGGTGGTCATGACCGTGGTGGTCATGGTGGATCAAGAGGTGATAGATCGGAAGAACATCAATCTGACGTTTTCCGGTTTTGATTAACTCATATTGAAGTGACTTTTTTACCTCCTAACACCACAAGTCATCTTTAACTACTTGATGCAGGAATTATTGCGAGCTTCAAAAAGCACTTTAAAAGAAAATATTGCTGTCATATGCTGGATTTATTTGAAGATGGAAAAGATATAAATAGTGAAAAGGTAAATATAAAGGAAGCAATTAATTATGTTACGAAATCATGGGGTCATGTAACTGAAGAAATAGTATAGAACTGTTGGAGAAAAACTGGAATTTTGCCTTTTATATTTGATGAAGACATAGACAATGCATCACAAATCCAACAAGAAGCAATAGATGATAAAACATTCGATATCAATAAAATGATTGAAGAATTTGATACGGATGATCCTTCTACTTCCTCACTGGCAAATGCACTAACCGATTTTTTTCAAGACTTAGAAGAAATCCAAACTAAAGATACTTTAGATGAAAATGATATAATAAGGCTGATTCAAAGGGAGGAAACATATCATGAAAATAGCGATTCTAAAGAAGAAGAAATTCTAATACCTCCCGGTGATGCTCTTAAATCTTTAAAGACTTGGATTTCATTTTTTGAGCAGCAGCATATTGATGAATTTCATGTAGAAAATTTAACTCTTTTTAAAAGGTACTTTAAAATTGTTAAACGGCTTGAACAACAATCCCGAAAGCAGTCATCAATTATGGATTTTTTTTAATATTTGATTAGTTTAATTAGCTTTTAGTAGCATTTACATAGTATTTTGAATAAAATTTACTAAATAATAAATAATTTGCATTTATATGTTATTATAAAATAACAATAATATTCTTTTATTTTTATATATGCGTTTACATTTATGTTCCTCTATATAATCACCTCACATGATTTTTAATATAATAGTGATTATATAGAGGATATCTTTTTATCAGTCACATTTCCATAAAATTACCAATTTTTTGGAAACCGATTAGGTGATTATATGGAGATCTGACTGTACAATTAGATAATGATGAACCTGAAGAATTATCAAAGCAATATTATTTGATTCTGAAATTGCAAATCAATTTGATTGAAATATTACTTGAAAATTTTATGAAAAATTAATTATATTTTATTAATATAAATAATAAATATATATAATTGATAATTATTATTAATATTTAATAATAGTACTTGAAAAATTAATTGTATTTTATTAATTTCAAAATAATAAATATATATAATTAGTAATT